AGTTCCTGTTCACAATCAACTACATGTATTTGGTATTAACTGCCTCTGTGAAACACAATAATTCTGTGGAAAAACGGATAATTTCTTCTAATTATATAATTCTGTGGAGATTCATAGATTAGTGTCATAATATTTTAAAGGTGACTTTATTCTATCTTTTAAAACATTTTTAGGTTGACATCATTAAACTGCAATAATAGATTGTCTCCAATGTGTACTGTTTCTTTTTTCATCATATAGATGATCTGTAACAATAGCCGTTTCAGTAAAATGCTTCATATAATAACTATTGTACTTGTGTTGCAGCATCTTTAGCTTCTCTCCTGCAATAATGGCTTCTTCTGAATGTACATGTTCCTGGTTAAATCAAGGTATTTTGTAAATGAAAAAAATATTCTATTTGGTGTTTGTTTTACTAAGAATTCGGTAATTCACTCTGATGCAATCTATTGCAATCTGTTCCTCTTTGACCCTTCTGTTTGAGAAGCATATTGAAATTACATGCAATTAAAAGAATAAAAAATAATTACATGCAATTAAAAGAAATAAAATAATTTCATGTAATCAAAAGAACAATTTTAATTACATGTAATTAAAAGAACGATTTTAATTACATTTTAATTACTTGTAATTAAAATAACAATTTTAATTACATGTAATTAATGCACGATTTTAATTACATGCAATTAAAAGCACAATTTTAATTACATGTAATTAAAAGAACGATTTTAATTACATTTTAATTACTTGTAATTAAAATAACAATTTTAATTACATGTAATTAATGCAAGATTTTAATTACATGTAATTAAAAGCACAATTTTAATTACATGTAATTAAAAGAACGATTTTAATTACATGTAATTAAAAGAACGATTTTAATTACATGTAATTAAAATCGTTCTTTTAATTACATGTAATTAAAATCGTTCTTTTAATTACATGTAATTAAAATCGTGCTTTTAATTACATGTAATTAAAATTGTTCTTTTAATTACATGTAATTAAAATCGTTCTTTTAATTACATTTAATTAAAATCGTTCTTTTAATTACATGTAATTAAAATCCTGCCTTTAATTACATGTAATTAAAATCGTTCTTTTAATTACATGTAATTAAATTCGTTCTTTTAATTACATGTAATTAAAATCGTTCTTTTAATTACATGTAATTAAAATCGTTCTTTTAATTACATGTAATTAAAATCGTGCTTTTAATTACATGTAATTAAAATCGTGCTTTTAATTACATGTAATTAAAATCGTTCTTTTAATTACATGTAATTAAAATCGTTCTTTTAATTACATGTAATTAAAATCGTTCTTTTAATTACATGTAATTAAAATCGTTCTTTTAATTACATGTAATTAAAATCGTGCTTTTAATTACATGTAATTAAAATCGTGCTTTTAATTACATGTAATTAAAATCGTGCTTTTAATTACATGTAATTAAAATCGTGCTTTTAATTACATGTAATTAAAATCGTGCTTTTAATTACATGTAATTAAAATCGTGCCTTTAATTACATGTAATTAAAATGTAATTAAAAGAACGATTTTAATTACATGTAATTAAAAGCACGATATTTAGACAAATGATATTTGTCTAAGGCTTAGACTCTAAGCCAACAAAGCTTACACAAACAACAGATGGTGTATATTAGGAGCTCAGAGAATGACGATCACTTTAGAATTGAATTTAAAGATTTAATGGAAGCCAAATCCTGGGCATTTATTTTAAAGAGTCCTTTATATATATATATATATTTTATTTTAAAGAGTCCTTCATATATAAAATTAAAAAAAAATTCCCTTCTCACCCACCGCGGGTGGTTCTTATCCTCTGAGCTCGGGTCCTCTACCAGAGGCCTGGGAGCTTGAGGGTTCTGCACAGTATCTTGGCTGTGCCAAGGACTGCACATTTCTGGACTGAGATGTCTGATGTTGTTCCTGGGATCTGTTGTAGCCACTGCTCCAGTTTGGGGGTTACTGCCCCGAGGGCCCCGATGACTACAGGCACCACTGTGGTCTTCACCTTCCAGGCCCTCTCCAGTTCTTCCCTGAGGCCCTGGTATTTCTCTAGTTTCTCGTGCTCCTTTTTCCTGATGTTGCAATCACTTGGTATTGCTACATCTACCACAACGGCTTTCCTCTGATGTTTATCCACTACGACAATGTCTGGTTGGTTCGCCATTACCATTTTGTCTGTCTGGATATGGAAGTCCCACAGGATCTTAGCTCTGGCGTTCTCCACCACCTTTGGGGGTGTTTCCCACTTTGATCTTGGGGTTTCCAGTCCATATTCTGCACAGATGTTTCTGTACACTATGCCTGCCACTTGGTTATGTCGTTCCATGTACGCTTTCCCTGCAAGTATCTTGCACCCTGCTGTGATGTGCTGGACTGTCTCAGGGGCCTCCTTGCACAATCTACACCTTGGGTTTTGTCTGGTGTGGTAGATCTGGGCCTCTATTGCTCTGGTGTTTAGGGCCTGTTCCTGGGCTGCCAGGATGAGGGCCTCTGTGCTGTCCTTGAGTCCAGCTTTTTCCAGCCATTGGTAGGATTTACTGATATCAGCCACTTGGGTTATTTGCTGGTGGTACATCCCATGTAGGGGCTTGTCCTCCCATGATGGTATCTCTGGCACCTCAACCTCCGTTCCCTGTTGTCTGAGACATTCACTGAGCACATTGTCTGTTGAGGCTTTGTCCCTGATGTATTTATGGATCTTAGTTGTTTCGTCCTGGACAGTGGTTCTCACACTCACTAGTCCTCTGCCTCCTTCCTTGCGGCTCGTGTACAGTCTCAGGGTGCTGGATTTGGGATGGAACCCTCCATATATATATATATATATATATATGGATATATATATATATATATATATATATATATATATATATATATATATATATATATATATATATATATATATATATATATATATATAACAGAATAATATATTTATTTTATATATATATATATATATATATATATATATATATATATATATATATATATATATAACTGAGAATAATATATTTATTATATATATATATATAATAATATATTTATTATATATATATATATAATAATATATTTATATATATATATATATATATATATATATATATATATATATATATATATATATATATATATATATATATATATATATATATATATATATATATATATATATATATAACTAAGCTGTATGATTTTGGCATCTCACATTTTGTTATTCGTGTAGATTGAGGAAGATGAATTGCCACCGAATTTCAAACCTGCCTTGGTCTTTGATGTTGAAATAACTTGCAAATTTTTACAATCTTTTGTACATTTCGCAAACATACATACATTCAAAATCGAGGGATTATGAAGGGGGAACGGAATATTTTAGCCAGCTGAAATATATGGTTCCCCCCTCATAATTCTGGCAAAAAAGGAGCAAATGCTACCAAAATCACAGGATTTATTGTTGATGATGAGAAGAATAAGCACAGTTAAGCATTTGCAGGTAAAATAATTTGTTCCCATTTTATGGAGGGGGAACGGAATATTTTAGTCACCTGAAATATATGGTTTCCCCCTCATAACTCTGGCAAACAAGGAGCAAATGCTACCAAATTCACAGGATTTATTGTTGATGATGAGAGAAATAAGCAGAGAAAAAATATTGCTGGTAAGTGCAGTTGTTCCCATTTTATGGAGGGGGAACAGAATATTTTAGCCAGCTAAAATATATGGTTCCCCCCTCATAACTCTGGCAAAAAAGGAGCAAATGCTACCAAAATCACAGGATTTATTGTTGATGATGAGAGGAATAAGCACAGTTAAGCATTTGCAGGTAAAATAATTTGTTCCCATTTTATGAAGGGGGAACGGAATATTTTAGCCAGCTGAAATATATGGTTCCCCCCTCATAACTCTGGCAAAAAAGGAGCAAATTCTACCAAATTCACAGGATTTATTGTTGATGATGAGAGGAATAAGCAGAGAAAAAATCTTGCTGGTAAGTGCAGTTATTCCCATTTTATGGAGGGGGAACAGAATATTTTAGCCAGCTAAAATATATGGTTCCCCCCTCATAACTCTGGCTAACAAGGAGCAAATGATACCAAATTCACAGGATTTATTGTTGATGATGAGAGGAATAAGTAGATAAAAAATCTTGCTGGTAAGTGCAGATGTTCCCATTTTATGAAGGGCTAAAGGAATATTTTAGCCAGCTGAAATATATGGTTCCCCCCTCATATCTCTGGCAAACAAGGAGCAAATGCTACCAAATTCACAGGATTTATTGTTGATGATGAGAAGAATAGGCAAAGTTAAGCATTTGTAGGTAAAATAATTTGTTCCCATTTTATGGAGGGGGAACAGATTATTTCAGGCTGCTGAATCATCCATTATTTCCTCTCCTTACTCCATAACCTTGGGGAATAAAGAACAACTGTTTCCAAATTCACAAAAACCTTTACATACACACTACGTGTTGGGAAAACTGTGTTTGGTGACTGACTTTTATTTCTGCCAGACTTACGTGAGAAAAGAGCGATTCTCTTGGTGTTTACAATAACACAAAACAGCGTCAGAAGACCTCGTTTATTTATTTATTTTACAATTTTTTTAAACAACAGCTGCAAATTAAACTGAGTGTTACAACATTGACATGGTTGTATTAGTTGTTTTTTTACCGAGAAATCGATCAGAAGCGACGTGAAAATGATCAGATCCGCCTCTTTCGCCTCTCTGGCTGTAATGCGCGCTCCCGACGCAGGGGGAACAGATTTTCACAGGGGAACCGAATTTCGCACAAGACCGGCTCTTTAAAGTGAACGACGGGAGCCGGAATGACAACCGTTTTTCATTTAAAAAAAGCGGGGCTGCAAAACACCAGCGCAGGGGTGTAGATTTATGCTAGTCAATCCCCCCTTCGCACTCACGCGAAAAGGGATGAAACATTCTTATTTGCCAAGTAAGTTACAAACTAAGTTATAAACTCAGTCATTTATGACTTTTTTTTGAGAGCTGGGCTACAAAAGCCCAGCTCTCAGCTCTCTGGAAAGAACCGGAATTCCCATCACTAGTGCCTTAACGGTCGTTACGTACGTTACGTCGTGGGCGTGACCATCATGAAGCCGCGGAAGATTCAAAACGAAGATGGCGACTAAAACTAATTCTCAAAACACTGTGAAGCTTGATAGAAGGTAAACCATATTCAGTTATTATATAAGTGAATGAACAGACTACAGCAGCAATATGAAAACAGAGTGCTTCCTTAAATGATATTGAAAGTATATAGTATTATTTTGTACTATTAAAATCGTTACATTTTAAAATACGTGTTAGCCCTATCCAGCTTAACCAAATAACCTAGCAACAGCTGGGAGACTGGTAGTTATGCTCAGCACTTACTGCAGCCCTCCATTTTTAGCACCCGCCTGTAAGCTTTCTATTAAATATAATAACAAGCTGATGGCGTTAATGCCTGTTTCTTTACAGGGAGACAAATTGCAGCGTATTCCTCTGTCACGAGAAACCAGACGCGAACCAGCCTGTGATCTTTAACCCGGACTTCTTCGTGGAGAGGTTCAGGCATGAGCATCCGCAGACTTTCGCGGATTTGGTGCTTAGTAATATTACTCGGCTCATAGATCTGCCAGGGGACGAGTTCGCCCAGCTGACTGGAGAGTCGGGGCCGAAGGTGCCGATGTCCACCGGGTTCCTGCGCTCCTTCAACTTCCGCAAACGGAAAGGTTAGAGGTGTTAATGTGCACAGGTTTTGAGATCAGCTGCTTCATACAAATGAGTTTTCTATGATAACACATGCAGGTAAACATACTCCACCTTGTTAACATTCTGGCTGCATCTTACTGCTGCCTAAACTATTGTTGTACCTAACCTACCATAAGATATTTAGTTCATTATTGCACGACTGCAAATTCAATTTCATAATGACTAAGCTCGTTCTTTCTTTACACATGGTCTTCTTGTTGGCTTTTTTGCACACTCTTGGTATATTATGGAACAAGAGTCGCATTATGCATAGAAATTCAACATATGAAAAGATGATTTATTTGTCATACATGTCATAATGTTCTTTATTGTGTTGATTGACAGAAAAAGGAGTGATATTTGGAGCGCCCTTGACTGAAGAAGGAATAGCTCAGATCTGTCAGCTCATTGAGTACCTGAGTAAAAGTAAGTTTAAATGCTGTCCTGAAAGGAGGGTTATGGCATCATAATTACATACAAACATTATAACACTAACGATTGTTTTATCACTTTTTTTACTAACACCTTGATGTGATGAACTGTATATATACAGCCTTGTAAAAGTATTAAACCTTTCTCAAAAACTACATATTTAACAAATAATATTTAATAATGTTCGCAAAATAAATTAAACAAGAAAAATCTAAACTTTGTTGGATCAATTTCTCAATTTAATTTCAAACACCATTCATCTTCTGCCCTGTGCTTTACAATTGTATGCACTGCTTGTGACATAAAGTCCTGAAAAATACATGGAAGTTTGTAATGGCTTGATGCAATCTGCTGGGTTTCCTTAGATATATACATATATATTTAAACTACTTTGAATAATTAATTGAGAATACTCTATTGTTTGATAACTAGGACCAATTGGAATTTTAATTATTATTATTATTTTTGCCTTGTGATGACATTTGTTATGAATTGGTGCTTTATAAATAAACTAAATTGAATTGAATTAAAAATAGTGCAAAGCAACAAAAGTGAAAAAGTAGAAGGAGGTATGAATATTTTTTCAAAGCACTATGCATATGCTTTAAAACATTTAAAAAAATACAATATATCATTACTTTTTGTTTTAAATCTCATAATTAAATTTTTGATGTGATGTGTGGGCAGAGTTTAATTAATTAGAGTTAGGCTAGTCAAAAATTAAGACACCATAACTTTCTTTATGAACATTAAGTTACCATGAGGTCATGGTTTATTTCTAGAAAAGAATGATGTCACATGCTGAAAGCAGACACTAGAAGCAAATGCATCAGTAAATAATTTATCCGAAAGCACTTTGCTCTTGCTGACTCTCTCCCTCAGTTTCATTCACCACATCTTGTCTGCCTCTTTCTCTGCCCCTGTGTGTGTGTCTTCATCACTCTGTGTCCAAAACGCCCATACACTCCTTCTTTACTCCTTCCTCCCCTTTGGTTATCTCGCTCTTTCACTGCTCCCCAGACCTTCATGTGGAGGGGTTGTTTCGGGTGCCAGGCCACAGCCTGAGGCAGGCGGCCCTAAGAGAAATGCTGAACAACGGCACCGAGATAGATCTGGAGACAGGTGATTTCCATCCCAATGATGCAGCCACTTTGCTCAAGGTGTTCCTGGGAGAGCTGCCAGAGCCTCTGCTCATGCATAGACATTACCATGCTCATCTGAAGATTGGAGGTATTTGTTGAATCACACAGAATTTTGGCCTGTTTTGGTATTTTTTTAAATCATCTTTTTTCTTTGCTTTGTCCAGAGTTGACTTGCTTTGATGAAAAGGGAAATAAGACTAATGTCCCCGATAAGGCCCGCCAGATTGAGGCGTTTCAGCTGCTTTTTATGTTGCTCCCACCGACCAACCGGAGCTTGTTGAAGCTGCTGCTGGACTTATTGTACCACACGGCCCGCAGCCAGGACATGAACAAGATGTCTGCTATTAATTTAGCGACAATGTTTGCTCCACATATCATCTGGCCCAAAAATGTGAGGATCTTCTCAAATATTGAAAGTATCTCAGAGAGTTTTCCAGAAATTTCTTATTCTATTTTTTTAATATATTCTGATGCAGGTGACAGCAAGTGATCTCCAGGGAAACATAGAGAAACTGAATAATGGGGTAGCGTTTCTCATTCGACACTCGCAAAAATTGTTCAAGGTAATCCACATAGTTTGCTACTTAATTGAATAGATTGATGTACATTATAAGTGTGTCTTTTATTTAGGCCAATGTTCCCCAAGTTGATAATCGAAAGTCATTCATAAACTAATGTATGTTTAGTTAAATGTGCTGATTGTGTTTAACTGCCGGACAAAAGCACAGTATGTTTGATTTCTACACAAGGAAGTAGTTGTGAAATAGGATTCACTAAATTCCTTTTTAAAGCTTTGTATTTTTTCTTTAGCAACTGTTTTAGTTATCAAGTTGGGATGTTGCCAGGGTTACAAAAAAACAAAACAAACCTTAAAGAATATGAACTGATAATTGGCACATAGAAAAATCAGAGAATGTTCTTCATGAGTCAGACCACAGTGTTTTGTAAGTTATGTTTAGACTCACTAAGATTCATTTTCAGAAGTTGAGAGGTCATGATTGTCTCAAATTTTTTTGAGTTAAGAGCTTTTGTTCAAAATGCTGCATATTTGGTATCCTAATCCTTCACTGTGGCCATTTTCAGCTTGTTTGTTGTGAAACTCTGTGCCTTTGGCTAGTTGCCCTGCATGCAGACGCACAACCACACTGAAGTCAGATTATTTACTCTCCCTGATAAGCTCTTTTAGTCATCCATTCGAAACCATCAAGTCCTATCATCCTGCTGTGTAATGAAACAGTCCCACTGATTTCTTTAACACTCTGAAACATCTGGATAGGACGGATGTGCCCTGACATTCAGTCAGTCATTAAAGTTCCCAGCGGCAGCTATATTATTTCCGAGCCATCTCCATGCAGGGGGTTTGTTTGTTCTTCAAGTATTTGAGAATGAAACAACTTAAAAACTAACATTTCAGTAAAAGCTGAGATACAGATATTCTTAGCTGAATATTACTTTATAATAAAATGAGCAGCCTTACCTTACTGATGTCATGGTTGACAACTCAAATCTTTCTATTTTCTTTCCATTGAGTTGACTTTACTTTGTCAAACAGAGTCTCAGGGAGCACTAACTTTCTTTCCATTTTAAAATACCTTAACAAACCAAATAGTGAAGTCTTTATGTGTTTCTAAATTCTGTGTCAGAAACAATAATTTAATATGTGTGCATGCTTTGAAATGTGTTCTGTTGACTACTTTTGATGCATTTTATGTTTTCGTTGATAGTGACTTAATGCAGTGCATAATAAATGAGATTCATTAGACTCAGACTTTATTGCAGATATTTTATATCGTTTAAGGCACCTGTCTACATTAAAGAATATGTGCAATTATTCTACACTGGATCCAAAATGCTTCAGTCAAATGTAAGTATGTTTATTTTTTTTGTCTTAAGAGAGACGTTTGTAGCACTGTTCTGGATCTGTTTGTGAACTCAGTCCCCCATTTTACAGCCATTCATTATCATTTTATCTTGACTTACTCCATTTCACAAACATAAACAAACCACTCCTTACCCATGTCCTATAGCTGAAAAATGGCAAATGCTGTACAAATATTTTATGAATGTTTATTCAGGGAAATATTCATAATGTTCTATTTATGTTGAATTTTTGCCCTTACTGTACAATGTGTTTTTTTTTTCATTATTCTGTTTTCTACATTTGGCTTATTCTCATCTTGATGTAAACCTGCTTGCGTTGATTGTCTTTCACTTTGCTGTTGTTGCACAGGAATTTCCCCATTGTGGGGAAATAAAATATAATTCTATTTTTATAGATGTTTGCAATACTGCTTGATTGATTTAAGATTTTGTCCAATTGAGTGTCAGTTGTGTGTGCAGTATGTAATAGGATATCTCTTGATTTTTCTAGGATTACCTGAATATTTCTTCAGGAAACAAAACTGGCTCTATTGCTGCTATTGCAGCTCCATCACCTTCTCCCTCTGTGAGGTCAATCACAGGTGAGACTAGCAGCACCAGTAACATCAAGCCTTCTGAGAATCAGAGCTATACGGAGTTGTGTCTCAGAGAGCTCTACAAGCAAGTCAACAGCATGCCAGAGTCTGCCAAGAAGAAAAAACTCATCAGACGGGTAACTTAATGGGACTTTTCAGAGGACAAATTAAACTCAAACTATGCAATGAACCTCTTTAAATCGATTCTTTAATGGGGTGCCATCTTCTTCGTAGTTTGAAAAGCAGCCTGACTCGAATTCCTCTGCAGAGACACGAACACCGTTCATCAGGAGACACTGTCGCTCTCGTTCTGTGGGTGGAATTATCAAGGTGGGCGGACGAGCTTTTATTAAATTGCATTCTCTTTGATGCTTTAATCAATATTTTCACACAGAACTCATTATTATGTGAAAGACATGATTTGCGTTTTCAACTTATGTAACAGAAGAAGGCACTGGGAGGCCAGGCTTCTACAGAGAAAGAAAACGGCACACTGCAGAGTCTTCCTCCCAGGTCCTGATGATGGGTAGAGTATGACGAAACACCTGCTGGGAGAAAGTGAGCATAGCAGCACTCAGCCTCAACGTGAATGTCTTCCATTGAAATTTACAGGCGTCAAGTTAAAGAGGCTGAATATCACAATGGTTCTCTTTATTTGTAGAAAATGTTTAAAATCATTTACCACTTTGGTGAGTCTTTCACTCAGAGGGAGATTGTGGATAAAATCCCACATAGATGGACAAATGTAACAATGATAGTTGCTTTCAGCTGAAGTTTTGACCAATTAACCCCTTTTCATCCTCTCTGCCAGGAAGAATTGCTATTAAAGGATTGTGCTCCAAGAAACATCAGGCATTTTATGTGCTGTCATAGCTAATTTTCTCTCTTTTTGTTTTTTATTTGTTTTTTTACTTTTTTGTCAAACTTAAGGGTTTATAAAACCCCAAAGAATATCTTTGCAGCTTGCTAATTTAACACAATAGTTACAAAGTTACAGTGAGGATGCTGATGTTGTGTATTTTGGGTCAGTCAAGTGTGACGTTTTTAAGCTGCCAAGAGTTTAAAAACTCTTGGTAGAGTTTTATTGAATTTGAGTGAATTTCAGTTCATAGATTATTATATTTTGCTGTTGTTTACATGGCAAGACCTTCACTGTTCTTCCTCAAACGTCTTAAGAAACTGTGATGTGCTGATTTTCTGTTTGTAATATAAATGTTCAGACCAAAATTTCCTATTCAAAGATGTGCCTTAAACTGTATGTCTTAAGTTATTGTAAAGATGAGCTCTTATGCAACAGGTTTTTTTTACAATATGTTAACATTTTTGGAGGCTTGATTTACATTTGTTTAAGATAAATACTTCCATATTTACAAAATGAATACTTGTGACGGGAAGATTAAAGGAAAGGTGATAGAATATTTTTATTTTTTATTCCTTTAACAAAGTTGTGTGAACACTTTTATTTTGTAATGCTACTGATATTTTAGACTGGCATTTCTTTTTAGTTCCTACTTTTAAGCTTTTCCTGAGGCTATTCTGTATTTCTACACATTAGCTGCAGTTTTGGATCTTAAAGTGGTGAATTTACTGTTTTGGTGAGAGGTTTTTACGTATACTTTTATCTTTTTATGATTGTAATGGTTAATTCAATGGATTTGAAGCAAAATATTTTTTTTTTGTTCTCCTGACTACTGTCAAACTTTTGTAAATTCAGGTGTATACTGAAAGAGTTGGAGCTGTTATCAGTTTTGAACTGAGTCATACTTGCTTTACCATTTAATTATAATGTGATTATTCCTGATGGGCCACATGGTGCTTCTGGAGAGCTATGCAACTTATTTTAATACTTTCAAATGTTTTCTTGAATCTCCTTTTTATTTAAATACATTTTACTTTTACATGTTTTTGAGCGTGCTATTGTGTGAAGTCAGGTCCTGCACTTTTTTTTTGCAACCACGAGGGGGTGGTGTTTGGTTGCAAATGGTTGTGAGGTAAGAACCTTTCTACACAATTTGTTGCTTTTGGAGACGATCGCTCAGTCTTCCTGCTTATTGTTATCCACACATGACCCAGTATGGTATTGTAAGCAATAAGATGTTTGTTAATGTTAACTGTTTACAAATGAATTATTAATTTAATGTTTATTATGGCAAAATTACCAAGGATAACCCAAAAAAGCGCAAACAAAAAAACAAACTTATTCTTTATTGAAAGATTTTGTGGGTAGTGAGACCAACTTTCACCAAATGTTAAGGTTTATTGTTTTCTCAAGTTCTTCACATAAGAGGCAGACAGCATTAGTAAAGCAAAGCAAGCTTTTACAACTAGAGAGTCATATTTCTTTTGTCAAATAGAAAACAGATTGATGTCTGTGACCTGAGTTCTCCATGCTCTAATAAACGCCACATAAAATGTGTTCTTGGTTTTTGCTGTGTGTTTAATTTTTTTTGTCTAAATGTGCAAAGTCTGACAAAATGATAACATATATCATAATGGACGTTGACAGGAAGCCACTCTGTTCTAAACTCTTATCTGATCCATAGTTTGCACATACAAACTATGCCTTCCGTTTATCACATGTCACAGTTGAGCACAGAGAAGCATCTTTCTTTGTCCTGAGCAACTACTCTCATTTTGTAAATGTGACTTGTTAGAAAGTGGCTTGCTTATATAAAATTTTGAATCGGCAGAACAAAAATCAGTTGTAACTCGCCCTTTCAGTCCCCATTGTTTGAGGTCTCGTGTTTTGCAAACATCTCCTCTGCCAGACAGTTGTAATTGCTGCCATGTTCTCATTGCTTTGCTTTAAGAGCTGAGAAGTCGTTCTTGTGTACTTGTGTGCATTCCTGTCAACTCTGTGAGAGCGGAGTTATGTTTCTACCCCCCATTACCACTAAACACCACTGTCTCCTCTTTAATTAGCAATTCATAACGGGAAGATCTACACTGAAGTGACATTTTTACAAGGACAAATGGAGCTTTTTTTCCCCCCTGCATGTGTATGTTTTATAATATGAATATTGTTGGTCACATAGCATTGCATTCCAATTTTTTCCATAACTACTTTACTTTAGCAACACTTGTAAGGAGCATCAACAGAGCATTTTTATACCTCCTGCTTGACCTCAATGAAGATGGTTTGAGAGTCGTGGGGTCTCTGAACTTTATGCACGTGTTTTCATCACATAAGATGTTCTTCTTAAACAGTCCTTTTTGATTTCAGCTAAAATTCATGCTGTATGATTTTAAACAGCATTCATTGTTCTCATGGTTGTCATTCCATTGTGGGGTGAAGCTTTGCATGCAAACTGCTTTTCAAACCCAGTTCAGTTTTTTTTCCCCCTCAAATTTCTCACAATATGTTCTCTGTTTTTAATGTTACCATTTATTTCTCACTGTGGATAACCATGACCAAAATACCCTGAATCCTTGAGATCCTGTTCTGAATTCACATCCAAAAGTACAGATTTGCACGTACAGTTTCTCTGAAAGCTACAGTTGCACTCTCAGCAGCAGACAGGCTTTAATATATATGCTTCCTTCTCTAAAAGTCACCCTGTGATGACATGTAGACGTCCTTTTAGGGGAATAAATTCCTGCAAATGCTGCTCATTGTTCACTGTTTTCCATCTCAGCAGAGCTCGCTCCATCCAGCTCTTGGTTTTTAAGTCCACTTTAAGACTCAAAAATGCTTGGTTCTGGCGCTGCTGAGAATGGGATTGTGTTCCAGTTGCATTGATGAATGAAAATAGCAGGTATGAGTATACTGGAGCTTTTTTATTTGAATGTTTTAACTATTCTGTCTGATTACAAAGTGCTTTAAATTGAATGTTGACTTTTTATTTTTATTTTTTTTTTCCTTCTAACTCTTTGTAGTGTCTGCTGCTTCCCCTCATACACAAGTGAAGACACAAAAAAGTATTAACACCCATTTTGAAATAGCTTAAGCTCAGTCAGATTAGATGCAGAGCACTTCTGAACATCAGTTGATAAGTTCTGTCACAATTCTCAATTGAATTTGGTTCTGGACACTGATACAACAATAACACATAAATATGGTTTTGGGTCTCTGACTCCAGTCTCCATCTTACAACTTGCTCCAACAAACCAATAAATTGCTGAACTACATTCTCAGCATGTCATCAACTTCTACAAAGGCATTTTTTAGTTATGTTAGAAAAGGGATACCTTTAAGAGTTACAGAAGCTTCACTCTTCAGGACTGGAGTTGGAGATCTCTGAACCATTACACGTATAAACTTGCCTAACACTGTAAGGAGTCTCAAATCTGGATTTGGCTCTATCCATTTTCTCTGGCTGGCTTCCCTCTCCCTGTTGATGAAAATAATTCCCACAGCCATGTTTTACCACATAACCTGCTTTCAATTTCTCTGGATCTTTATCTTTATCCTGCTGTGTTTCTTGGTCTAGACAATGCTTTTTGTTTACTGATGTTTTATAACAAACCTCTGAGGCCAGATTTACTCATTAAAAAAATATTTCATTCACTAACTGGGTGTCGTCTGTACACCGACTTTATGTCTCAAGCATAAAGATGGTTCTTTGTGCTAGATTTTAACTAAGAGTAAATGCAGAAAGGACTTTTTAGAGGGACAGATAATTAAAAAAAACACGTTATTTTGCCTCCACCTGAAAATCCCTGTGAAGGATCCTGATGTAAGTTGCTGCCGTGTGACAAAGATGTGCAAAAGTATGATTACTTTTCAAAGACACTGTACTTGTTGATTATTTATTCAGTATTTTTTTTCTACCTCTCTGGACCGGGGTGTTGATTCTTCCCATCCCATGTGGATTCTCTCGCTCCGGGCAGAGGCTTTGTAGTGTCATGCAGGTTAGGACTCTCTGTCTGTCTCCCTCTCTGTGGGGTTTGGCTGGAGGCAAAACTGAGACACAAGAATGAGTCGGGTAAGTGTGTGAGAAGTAGCTGAAAAGAGGAAGATAGTTGGAGTAGATTTATATTGTGAAGAGAGTCAAGGGAATGAAAGAGGGATCTTAGGAATGAGTGTGAGTTCAGACAGGGTTGCGTTGGAGGGGGTGGGGGGATTGTATGAGGAGGGAGAGAAGTGAGGGTGAACAGGAGGGGTAGGGGTGGAGTCGGGGGTTCTGCTATTTGTAGACCCTTGTGATGGATGACTGGTGTGTGTGTGTGTGTGTGTGTAAAAGGGAGAGAGATAAAGAGAGAGAGAGACTGCCTTTTTTCCTTTCTGCTCTTTCCCTATTCCCTCTCTCTTCAGGCAAGCGGAGCAGAGCAGGACTAAGTAAGAGGAGGACAGACGCATGCCGACCAGAGCACACCAACTCCACAAAGACGAAACAGCACAGGAGTTTGCAAGAAGAAAAGAAAGAAGGAAAACGTCTCCTTTTTACATGGGCAAACTATAGTGGATATCAAAGCTGCATCACCACAACTGTAGGATTTGTGTAGGAGATTTTTCTATTTTTTTGTTTCTATTCATACTTTCCTGTTAAATAAAATTATTTCAGCTGACTTGTAAGGTGTGGCAGGACTTGTGGAAGCCAAAGGAGGGTGAAAATCAAAAAAGCTGGATAGAAAGAAGTAAAAAAAAAAAAAAGGAAGAAGAGGCTTTGAACATGCCCGCTGGGGGTTTTGAATCAAGCATGGGTAAGCAGCCCAGGCAGTGGATGTGGCTGCTGATGCTCTCTGCCCTGGTGGTGGGCAATGCCAACGCCTGCCCGGCACTTTGTACCTGCAGCGGCACCACAGTGGACTGCCATGGACTGGGTCTCAAAACTATGCCAAGGAGTATTCCCCGCAACACTGAGAGACTGTGAGTGCCATCTTTACTTCCTTCCCTTGTAATGTGTGTATCTGCAGGCTGTGTTCTGTCTTCCCATTGTTTCCACTACGGCTGTGTTATTGTAGTGCACATGGGTTTCTTTAGATGGAAACAGAACAATAGCCCTGCCTGTGCATGCTGTGTGTGAGTGCATGTGTGAATGTGCCAATCAGGGGAGCCAGTCACTCACTGGCATTCCAGTCAGGTATAAATAGACATCAGAGTCTGGAAAAAGCAGGAGCAGATGTGCTCCTGTCTTGTTTATTTACTACATTTTTTTTCTACATGTCTGATATTTTATCTGTTGGTTTCATATGGTGTTACTTGCTTTTCAATCTCAACTAAGAAGAAATTCAGACTTTTTCTCCACTTTTTAATTGCTTCCAGAGTCAAGTTTAACGACTTAAGTTCATTTAAAGGTTCTGTTAGTTTCTCAGTCGTCCTGCTGGCTTTTCTTGCTCTGTCCTTATCTACCTTTCTCGTCTTTTCACTTTTCTCCACTTGTGCGCTGTCCACTCCTGCTCTCACTCTCTGGCCCTGTCATGCATCTGAACGCTCGCTCCCCGAATTGTTAAATCATGCAGAAAATTAAGCAAATCTGCCGCTTAAGTGAGTCCTGCGCGAGGTTCACCTAAGCTGTAAAGACGTGAGTCGGGCGCCAGCCCTGCAGAGGGGTGTTTCTCCATCTTCTCTGACATTTCTCTGAAATATTCATCTGCAAAATCAGAGGGAGCACAAAGTGGGGGGAAATAGATTGTTCAGTTTCAGCTTTAAGAATATCAGCCGTGAATAAAACATGCGGTGGGGAACAGAGCAGGGAAAGCCAGTGTCAGAGGCATCAGTGATGGCATGGTGGGAGCTGGCTGCATATTTCATGCTTTCCACATTTAATTTCCAAGAACACCCCTCTTTTTCTACCCCCATGCAAGTTGCATACATCCACAAATTGGTTTAATAGTGAACCACAGAGGAAGCGTGTTCATTTTGTGACTTCCTTTTAGATAAATGGCCATTCACACTGGAAATGTTCCCCGTGCTTTCACTCAAAGAGCATTTCTGTGTTAAAAGTTGCTTGTGCGTTTGTAGGTCATGTTTGAATTGTGTTCAACACTCGGGAGGTTGCGCTCTAATCATATTCTGCATAACAGTTATCTAATATATTTCGAGGTCACTGCCTTTCTTCTTTTCACGGGTGGATTTTCTTAATGTATAGGGATGCTGCTTACTGCTTAGAAGTTCTGTTCAACAATAGAAACTGGTCTCTGTGTGAGCTTTTGTGTCGGGTGATTAATCAAGAGGAGCGGACGAATCAACACAGCCCCATTGGCCACACATGATGCTCCCATGTGCAGTTCCAGATTTATGGGTATTTTTTTCTTTTTGAAAATATGTGAATAAGTGAGCGACAATTTGTAGCTGACATCGTGGTCAAAGGTGAGCGAAAGTGCTCACATCACTTGAACTTGTTCACATTTTGGGCACTTAATTGCCCAAAATGTGAAATGTAAGTACAAAGGAGCATGGTTCTAAATGTTTTACAAAAAAAAAATGTGGCGTCAATTCAAATTCAGTCATGCTTAT